ACAATTATGGTGCCAGCTAGGTGGCAAAACCTTGCAGGGTTGGGTCTATGTTCTCCAGGAGGCTGTATATGCACTAAACCAGCATCCAATATATGGTGCTGTTTCTCCCATAGCCAGGATTCATGGGTCCAGGAATCAAGGGGTGGAAATGGAAGTGGCACCACTCGGTATTATCCCTAGTGACCCACTGGCAAGACTTTTGCTTCCTGTTTCCTCAACCTTATGCTCTGAAGGCCTAGAGGTCTTAGTTCCAAAGGGAAGAACGCTCCCACCTAGAGACACATCACTGATTCCACTGAACTGGAAGCTAAGAATGCCACCTGGTCACTTTGGGCTCCTTATGCCTCTGGATCAACAGGTGAAGAAGGGAGTTACCATACTGGCTGGTGTCATTGATCCTAATTATTAAGAGGAAATTGAATTTATATTAGATAATGGAGGTAAAGAAGAGTATGTCTAGAATGCTGGAGATCCTTTAGGGCGTCTCTTAGTACTACCATGTCCTGTGATTAAAGTCAATGGGAAACTACAGCAACCCAATTCTGACATGACTACTAATGGCCCAGACCCTTCAGGAATGAAGATTTGGGTCACCCCACCAGGCAAAGAACCATGACCAGCTGAGGTGCTTGCTGAGGGCAAAGGGAATACAGAATGGGTGGTGGAAGAAGGTAGTTCTAAATACCAATTACGGCCATATGACCAGTTGCAGAAACGAGGACTGTAATTGCTACGAGTATTTCTGTTTTGTATGTGTGCATCTTTTTGTTTCCTTCACTTATAAAATATAAGGTGTAAATGGGGCTAGTGCGTTTTTGATTGTACGTGTGTTAGTTGTATCATGTTAGGCACAAGTATTACCTTGTCATTATCTTTATTCAGAGATTATGTATGGTTTCAGGAGATGTGTACAGGTGCCAAGTTGACAAGGGGTGGACTGTGATGATTAAGATGGTATGTCAACTTGGCTAGGCCATGATTCTCAGTGTTTAGCAGTTGTATAATATTGTGATCACTTCACTGTCGAAATTTGATATGTGATCACCCCCATGATGGAATCTGCTGAGTGGCAATGGTGGAGGCGGGGCCTGTGGCAGCTCACCACCCCCTCAGTTTCATCTCTCTGCCTTCCATCGGTTGCTTTCTGCCTGCTCGCCTTGTCAAGGTTTTTGGCTTGTTCCAGACTCAGCAGCTGCCTCTTGTTGTCCCGCCTCCGGTTCTTGGGACTTGAGCTAGTAGTTTACCTGCTGATCTTGGAATTCATTGATCTACTCAGCCTGCGAGCAAGAGTTCCGTTTCCCAACCTACTGATCTTGGGTTCGCCAGCCCCTGCAGCTACGTGAATCGGAAGAAACCCTGCGGTCTTGTCTGCTGATCTTGGAATTTGTTGACCTTCACAGCCTGTGAGCAGGAGCCCCTCTCTGACCTGCCGACCTTGGGTTCACCAGCTTCTGAGCCTCCGTGAATTGGGAGAGGCCTCTACCCTGATCCATGGACTTGGGACGTTTTAGCCTCTACGATTGTGTGAGCTGTTTCCTTGATATAAATCTTTCTCTATATCTATTTACATGCTTTTCTGGTTTTGCTTCTCTAGAGAACCCAACCTAAGACAACAACCAAAGAATTTATATAGTGCTTATTAAAATTCTTTTGTAGAGAGGGAAACCAGGGTCCAGAGAGGTTAAGCAGTTGACCTAAATGGGAATGGGGGACTAATAACTCCAAATTCAATCAATGTTATTTAATCTGAGAGGACTAAAATAAAAAATAACTATTTCCTATAAGCTATTCTTATAAGCCTTAAACAGACATTTAATTGATTAATTTATTTACTTTCTTTCTTAATTATTTAAAGTATTTTTAGTTTGCTTGTGGCATGTAGAGTACTATGTTAACTGTGGAGAATAAAAATTAATACCCATGAGGATTATAAGATAGGTGGCTAAATCAGTGATTTAAATAATATGAGGAAATAGTATGTATATCTATGTGCCAAAATAATGGCATAATTATTTGGTTTCTAGGTGATCACAGATAGTAAAAATTAGTTCAACTTAAATAAGGTAGAGAGGGGTTTATGAAAGAGCTAGGGTTAGAGATGGATCAAGAAAGACGGGTGAAAGATGGTTGAAGAAAAGGCACATTCATGTCATAACAAACAGGGTTTGGTAAAGCACAGTGTGTAAAGCCACAGAGGGAGAAAAGCGCATGTGCTGAGCAACCCTGGGTAGGCTGGTCTAGCTAGCTACATTCATATTACAGAGCAGCGTAAAGATAGTTTGGGGTCAAATTTGCATAAGGCCTTGAATGCCAGGCTACAGACAGAACTTAAATCATCTAATAGGCAAATAGGGAGTCATTTAAGATTTTTCAGTAGAGACATGATACATGACAGAATGTAAAGGAAGAAGGGGATTGTACATAGAGAAGTCAAGGACAGTTGTGATGATACATTTATATATTGATAAATAACTCATTCCAGTAGTGACGTAAAGAGATTGATTTCAGACATTTTAAAGGAAAAGGTTATATGCCCAGGTGACTGAGAATAACGTGGCCTTAATCAAATTGAAGAATATTTAATTAGTCGGGGATAGGGCTCAGATTTCTTGTCTTCTTGGCGGGGGGGGGCTGGTGGTGGGAGTGTGATTTTTAAGCTTCCCAGGTGATTCTAATTATAGCTAAGGTAAAAAGCCACTTGCTTGGACATTTCTTTTGATATTGTTTATCTGATCTTAAGCTTTGCCAAGGCTCTATATACCCAAGTAACTCATATTTTAATTGTCATTTTTAACTAGATTTTTATACTAAAACTTTCATTTCATTTCATTCCAGACAAGCTCTTCCTCTTGACTTCCCTGATTTGGTTTAAAGCATCATAACTTTTCCACTCAGGATTAAGTAATTAAACTTATCTGTAATTCCGCATTTTCCTACACCATATGCAACAATTTCTTATATCAATTCTACCTTTAAGATAGCTCTGTCTTCCCATTCCCTCCATTTGCCCCTGAATGGAGAGGCTCCCCGTGTATTATCTGGGCTACTGGAGTGATCTCACAACTGGTTTCTCCATCTCTTCTTATTCCAATCCAATGTATACTTTGCCTCCAGATTATTTATTTTAGTATAGTTCTTATGCGTAAACTAGTCTCTGCTTTCAAAGAGCCCAGTCTTTAGCCCACAGTGGCAGGGATGGTCATGTATTCCAAAAATGCTATTATTAAATAAGCCATATAATGTTTCCCTGCTTTGAGTCCTCCAGGCACTTTACTTTTATACGTTTGATAACTCTGACATTACTCTGAAGATTTGCAGAGTCCTAGGATTCTTTAGATGATTGGAAAGAGAGTGTATAAGACAGAGATTATCTTGAAAGGCTAGGAGTTCCCCAAATAGGTCAATGAGAACAATTCTGTATTTTTTTTTTTTTTAAGATATTGGGGTTCTGCATAAGATTTTCATTAAAAAGAGTGTTCCACTGGTTAAAACAAAAAGCTTAAAAATAACTGTTTATATAGTTTCTATACTAGAAATCATATACTATATGATTAACCAATCCTCTTCCCCATTGGATTGTAAACTTCTTCATGGCACAGATTATATTTTTGATATCTCTATACCTCCTAAAATGCGTAGAAATGCCTGGCATATAGTAGGAATTCAAAATATGTGTTGAACAGAAGTCTTTGCCTCCATATGCCACCACAGGGAAATTATTACATCCTGGAACCTGTAAGCACTGACTTAACACTTTTGGCCCCATCAGAATTTAGACATTTGGAAGTGTTCAGTCATAGATTTCTGAAAAGTTCAATTCAAGAATGCTTATTGAACACATAAATGCACAACGTACTGTGCTAGTTAATGTAATAGAAATGGAGCCAGCAAAAGAATAGTCTAAAGGTAGAATAACAAAGGTTGTGTGGCAATACAAATTCAAGAAAGGAGCTTTAATGGAGAAGGAGGTGACCACAAATTTCAAACCTGACCAAGGCTTCGAGATGAATGAAGATTATGATAAGGATCTTTGATTAAGCAAGTTATCTCCAGGGGTATTGTCAGGATGAATGCTACTTGCAAAGGTTAAAAAATAAACCCCACATTGGAAAGTTTGACAACAAAAAGGAAGAGAAATGGAACAGCAGCTATAAAGGGTAATACAGGTGAAGATCTTTTTCCACTAAATAGGAGAAAATACAGTTTATGTTTGATGTCAGAAACAGTGGCAGAAGAAAAATCATGGACAAGAGGGAATATTTATCAATTTAAGGGGGGTTATGAGTTCAAAAGGAATGGTAATTTTTATGGATTGAATCATGTCCCCCCATAAGTTATGCTGCAGTCCTAACCCCTATACCTGTACATATGATCATGTTTGAAAATAGCAGTTTTATTTTGTTGTATTAATGAGGCCATACCAGAGTAGGGCAGGTCCTAAATCTAATCCCTTCTGAGTATAAACCAAAACCCAAACCTGTTGCTGTCAAGTCGATTCCAACTCATAGCGACCCTGTAAGACAGAGTAGAACTGCCACATAGGGTTAACAAGGAGTGGCTGGTGGATTTGAACTACTACCTTTTGGTTAGCAGCTGAGCTCTTAACCACTGTGCCAGCAGGGCTCCAATCCCTTCTGAGTAGCGTCTCATAAAAAAATCGGAATGGACATAGACACACGGGGAAGAGACCGGGTGAACCATCTACAAGCCAACGAATGCCTGTGGCTACCGACAGCGTGGGAACCTCCCTTAGAGCTCATAACTGAATTCTGATTTCTACCCTCCAAAACTGAGACAATAAATTTCTCTTCCTTAAAGTCACCTACTTTGTGATATTTTTTGCTATGGCAGTTCTACATAACTAAGACAGCAATCTAGGTTTTACAGTGTTTATCCATAAAGCAGATTTGATTCTGGAAGCACAAAATATATGAAAAAGTAACAGGGCTTTCAAACATACAGTTTCTTATATTACTCTCTAATAGATTTATAGTTCCTACCTTCTCCACTCTCCATGCCTTCTACAAAAATGCCCCCACACTGAGGAAGAATCCAGTATCGGCGTCTATAACGATCTTGGCCAAACATCATCGAACGTAAAGAGTGAGAAGCGTCAAAGAGCTTCCGTCTGTATTGACTCTGTTGCTGTTAGAAAATGATACATATAATTAAATTATGGGTGTTAAGTGTTTCAAAAATTAATATATAAATGACTTTATACTTATTATGCCTTCAGAGCAGGTAAATTGCACTACAAGGCAAAGAGCAAAAGGGCTAAATATTACATGTCTAACTTCAATTTCAGTAACATAAAGATAGAAATTAGTTTAAGGATAATTGAGTATTTTTTTGTTGCTGTAGATTAAAAGGATAGATTCTGTTTTATCAGGTTTCTTATAGTAAAGCATATCTTATACAATGTGATAAAGTATGTTATTAAGCCAAAGCAAATTGGTTCAATTCTACTGATTACAATGTCTAACAAATATTATTTATATATGTAATTGATCATACCTACATTTGCCTATTTTTATACTCATGCTGTAAACCTAGGCAATATATGACTAAATTTTGGGATAGATCTATGACGAACCTAAAATTGATATACTATACAGTGATCTCATAATATTAATCTCATAATATTTTTAACACTCATTTTTATTTTACACAAAAAGTTTTACTAATTTTATTGATACTTAATTTTTAATGAGAGGTAAATAGACATATACAGTTTATAAGTCAAATGCAAGTAAAATTCACAGATATACAAATGCAAAGCAAAACATAAGATGCTGAAACTATTACCATGAAATTTGACTTGAGTTTTTGAATTGATTCCAAGAAATAAAGCTGTGTTTTATTTAATTTTTCATATAAATAAAACTGCATTTATATGAAGAATTGAATAATACAGACCCTTTCTTCATAAGCTCTGAATAAGTTCAGTGTCATGTCTTAAGAGGCAGGCTTTTCGCCTTGGCATTAAACTTCTAAGGTTTAATCGTGAGAATGTTTCTAGAGCTCATTTTAATTACTCACAAAAAGCTTCTTTTTACTTTGCAACCAGAAAAACTAGTCCCATACATGGAGGATTTTTAAAACAATGCAAAAAAGACATAAAATTTTATCCAAAAAATACTTACTTTACTCAGTTTTTCAATCTGTTTTTCTAGCTCTTCAACACTTGCTGCTTGATCACCTTCATCCTATGCATAACAAAACACAACACCATTTATCTGTTTTTAAGATTTTACTTCTTCAAGCAACCAGCAAATATTTAATAAAAGCCTCTTATATGAAAGTACTAGGATGAGCATGGCGGAAATGCTCTCTATAAGCTAATAATCTGGTAAGGAGAGACAAAAAACATTACATACAACAAATACCAAATGGTAGAAAGTTATAAGGACCTCAAGAAAAGTAGAGATTAAGGTTCATGAAGTTCAAGGGAGGGTGAGATTACTTCTAGTGGGAATCTGTACCAAGAGAGACTACATGGAAGAAATCATGTTTTAATTAGCTACTAAAGAATGGTTAGGATTTTATTGAGGAACGAGGGCAGGGCATTCCAGAAAGAGTTTAACATATCTTGACATGAAAGGTACATGAAGAGGTAAGGTGGGAGATAAGGCAAAAAGGAATTTAGGCTAGATTGTGAAGAGCTATATATGCTTGGCAATGGACAGTATGATCTTTTAAGGGAGGTTAAACATCTAAACTATGCTTTACAGAAATTAATCTGGCAATAGTTGTAAGATGGTTTGGAGCAGGGAAAGATTAGAACTGGCAAGACTAGCTAGTAGACTGCTGCCTTACTGGGGTAAGAGAAACAGAAGTGGAAAAAAGCAAATGGATATAAGAGATATTACATAGTTAGAACTGCTAAGTTCTGGCAACTCATGGATATGCGACGGAGTGCTGAGGGAGATGAAGGAAGGAATAAATTATGATTTTAAGGTTTTAAATCTGAAACTGGAAAAATACTGGTACCATTAACTGAAGGGGTTATTTTTAAAGTGAAGAAGATAAATTATATTTTGAATACACAGAACTTTTAGAATAAAAATCATCTCTATGGAACAAAGAACACCAAAGACACAAGGAAAGTATTGGCCCAAGAGACAGAATGGGCCACATAAACCAGAGACTTCATCAGCCTGAGACCAGAAGAACTAGATGGTGCCCGACTACCACCAATGACGTCCTGACAGGGAATACAACAGAGGGTCCCTGATGGAGCAGTAGAACGATGGGATGCAAAACTCAAATACTAGTAAGAAGACCGGACTTAATGATCTGACTAAGACTGGAGGCGCCCCGGAAAGCATGGCCCCTGGTCTCTCCATCACCCCAGAACTAAAATAATTTCCGAGGCCAACTCTTCAGACAGGGATTGGAATGGACTGTGGGACATAAAGTGATACTTGAGAAGAATGTGCCTCTTAGAGAAGTAGATATAAGAGACCAAAGGGGCAGCTTCTGTCCAGAGGT